TTTGAGACAGAGTTTCACTCATTTTGCCCAAGCTGGAGTGCAATAGCGTGCTCTTAGCTCACCGCAATCTCCACCTCCTGGGTTCAAGCAATTCTCCTTCCTCGGGCTCCTGAGTAGCTGGGATTACAGGCATGCACCACCACACCCAGTTAATTTTGTATATTTAGTAGAGATGAGGTTTCTCCATGTTGGTCAGGATGGTCTCGAATTCCCAACCTCAGGTCATCTGCCCGCCTTGGCTTCCCAGAGTGCTGGGATTACAGGCATGAGCCACTATGCCTGGCAAAATTCTTTCATATTGTCTAATAGTCTTTTTTTTTTTTTGAGACAGAGTCTCAGTCTGCCACCCAGGCTGGAGTGCCATGCACTGAAATTCACTACAGCCTCCACCTCCTAGGTTCAAGCGATTCTCCTGCCTCAACTTTCTGAGTAGCTGGGATTACAGGCACACACCACCATACCCAGCTAATTTTTGTATTTTTAGTAGAAACAGTGTTTCACCATGTTGCCTAGGCTGATCTTGAACTCCTGACTTCAAATGATCCTCCTGTCTCAGCCTCCCAAAGTGCTGGGATCACAGATATGAGCCACCATGCCTAGCCTCTGATGTTTTTTTTGTTGTGTCTCTGCCAGATTTTAGTTATCATGATGATGCTGGCCTCATAGGATGAACTGGGGAGAAGTCCCTCCTCCTCAATTTTTGGAATAGTTTCTGTAGAAATGGTATATCTTCTTTGTATATCTGGCAGAATTCAGTTGTAAATCCATCAGATCCTGGGCTTTTTTTGATTGGCAGGCTATTATTACTGATTCAATTTCAGAGCTCATTATTGGTCTGTTTAGGCAATCAATTTCTTCCTGGCTCAGTCTTGGGAGAGTGTATGCGTCAAGGAATTTTTATCCATCTCTTCTAAGTTTTCTAGTTTGTGTGTGTAGAGGTGTTCATTGCAGTTGTTTTTATTTCTGTGGGGTCCGTAGTAACATTCCCTTTGTCATTTCTAATTGTGTTTATTTGGATTGTCCCTCTTTTCTTCTTAGTCAAGCTAGTGGCCTATTTTATTTTTTCAAAAAACCAACTCTTAGATTTGTTGATCTTTGATGGTTTTTTGGTGTCTCAATTTCCTTCAGTTCACCTCTGATTTTTGTTATTTCTCATCTTCTGCTAGCTTTGAGATTAATTTGTTTTTGCTTCTCTAATTGTTTTAGTTGTGAAGTTAGATTGTTAAATTGAGATCTTTCTGACTTTTTGATATGGGCATTTTAGTGCTATGAATTTCCCTCTTAACGCTGCCTTAGCTGCATCCCAGAGATTCTGGTATGTTGCATCTCTATTCTTATTATTTTCAAATAACTTGATTTCTGCCTTAATTTCATTATTTACTCAAAGTTCATTCAGGAGCACATTGTTTAATTTCCATGTAATTTTATGGTTTTGAGCGATTTTCATTGTGTCGATTTCTCTTTTTATTGCACTGTGTTCCAAGGGTATGTTTGGTATTATTTCTGTTCTTTTACATTTGTTGAGGACCATTTTATGTGCAATTATGTGGTCAATCTTAGAGAAAGTGCCAAGTAGCAATGAAGAGAATATATATTCTGTTGTTTTTGGGTGGAGACCTCTGTAAAGGTCTATCAGAACCATTTGGTCCAAAGCCGAGTTTAGATCCTGAATATCTTTGTTAATGTTCTGCTTTGATGATCTGCCTAATACTATCAGTGGGTGTTAAAGTCTCCCACTGTTATTTTGTGGGAGTCTATGTCTTTTTCTAGGTATCTAAGAACCTGCTTTATGAATCCAGGTGCTCCTGTGATGAATGCATGTATATTTAGGATAGTTAGATCTTCTCGTTGAATTGAACCCTTTACCCTTCCTTGTTGGTTTTTTTTTTTTTTTTA